GCTGGAGAGCTTGTGGCTGGGGCCCACAGGGAGCTGGGGAGGAGGCTGAGTTCTGAGGAAAAGAACATCAGCACTGAAGCTAGCAGAAAGTCACTCTTATGGCCCGGTGAGGCTGGCATGGGCCTCAGTCACTGGGCCACAAGCCAGGGGATCCCCCTGGCACACTGTCGTGGATGTATGGCTAAGGAGGATCCAAGGCCCTAAGGCAGGTAGCAACCTCTGCTATGGATGGGAAGGTGCTAGAAGGCAAATATGCCCCAAATGTGACCGATACAGAGGACATTTTCTGAAGCTTCCCAGGGAAGGGGGCGGCCCAGACTGGACACCCAGACCTCTTCCCACCCCACCAGGGCCCAAAGTTTGCATCTGACCTCTCTTCTGCCTGCCGGTGCTCAGGAAACGAAGGGGTCAGGGTCTGAGGTCCTAGTGTATAAATGCTTGGGCAATAGCCCCAGACGTAGCTTCTTCTGAAGGTCTTTGTCCCAAAAGCCAGACTACAGAACTCTTGGGTTTCCAGTCATCTCAGGAACTCTCTGGAAAACCCTGCTGGGATCAAGGCTTACTACTCAAAGAGCACCTTGTCCTCTGAGGTCTCCAAATTTCCTGCCACCTCCTGGTAGCCACAGCTACAGCCAAAGCTGGAGTGGGGGGGGGGGGAGAGAGGGGGGGGGGCGATGGTGGGTGAGTGAATAGAGCTCTGTCCTGGGCTGGGCTAAAACCCGGGGTGAATTTACAAAGAAGCCACATGCCTGAAAAGGAAATGCTAACCTCAAAACAAAAAAGAAGCTTCCCTGGAAAACACAGCAGAGGAGAAAGGCAGAAAAGATAGGAGAAATCATAAAATCATGGAGTTTTAAAATAACTTGTTTGGTGTTTTGCCAGGACTTAAGTTTTTCTTTTTTTTTAATTTTTTTTTTTTTTTTTTTTGGTTTACTTATTTATCTTGAGAGAGAGAGAGAGAGAGAGACAGACAGACAGACAGAAAGGGAAGGAGAAAGCGAACAAGCAGGGGAGGGGCAGAGGGAAGGAGAGAGAATCCCAAGCAGGCTCCATGCTGTCAGTGCAGAGCCTGACTCGGGGCCTGATCTCATGAAGAGTGACATCATGACCTGAGCCAAAATCAAGAGTCACTTAATGGACTGAGCCACATGGGTGCCCCAGGACTTAAAATTTTCTCTTTTTCCTTTTTTTTCTTTTTCTTTTTACATTTATTTATTTGTGAGAGACAGAGAGAAAGACAGAGCCCAAGTGGGGGAGGGGCAGAGACGCAGAATCCGAAGCAGGATCCAGGCTCTGAGCTGTCAGCACAGGGCCCAATGCGGGGCTCGAACCCACAAACCACGAGATCATGACCCGAGCTGAAGTCAGACACTCAACCAACTGAGCCACCCAGGTGCCCCAGGACTTAAGAGTTTCTTAAAACAAGTGATAACCATTGGGTAAAAAAATGAGAGGGGCGCCTGCCTAGGTTTCTCTCCCTCTCTCTGCCCCTCCATTGCTCATGCGCACATTCTCTCTCTCTCTGTCTCAAAAGAGTAAAAATTGAAATTTTTTTTTAATGAGAAATAAGAATAAAAAGGAAGTTTACAAATTTAATATTGAAAGCTATATCCTGGGGCGGCTGGCTGTCTGCTGGTAGAGCATAGGGCATGTGACTCTTGATCTCGGGGTTGTGAGTTCGAGCCCCATTTCGGGTGTAGAGATTACTTAAAAATAAAAACATTTAGGGGCGCCTGGGTGGCGCAGTCGGTTAAGCGTCCGACTTCAGCCAGGTCACGATCTCGCGGTCCGTGAGTTCGAGCCCCGCGTCGGGCTCTGGGCTGATGGCTCAGAGCCTGGAGCCTGTTTCCGATTCTGGGTCTCCCTCTCTCTCTGCCCCTCCCCCGTTCATGCTCTGTCTCTCTCTGTCCCAAAAAAACAAATAAACGTTAAAAAAAATTAAAAAAAAAAATTAAAAAAAAAAATAAAAACATTTAAAAAAGCAATATCCTGTGTGGCAGTTAGAATTTGCTTCACCCCTGGAGTCCAGACGGCCCCTGGTGGATGTGGCCATCACTTTCCACCACCTAGCAGAAAAGAACGAACCAGGGCCCAATGGAAAGACCCACATGCATCACTAGGAGGCGCCATTATCCTCAAGAAGTTGGAAATTTTTTACAACCTTTTCCTCAACTGGCACCAACGACCCTAGATAGAGCAGCAACTCAAAACTTCTGATATTTGGAATCAGTTACAACATGCAGGCATTCACATAAACTTGGTTATTCTAATGCTATTTTTTTTTCCTTTTATGCTAATCCTCACTGTGTTCCAGCCACCCTGGCCTCCTTCCTCCTTCTGGCTTTGTCCAGCCTCAACAGGCTTGGAGCATACTGTTCCCTCTGTCAGAATGTTCTTTCAATAATTACCCTTGGGCTCCTTCTCCTTCAGGTAGCTCACACGTCAATCCCAGAAAAAAGACCTTTCCTGACCACCTGACATGAGATTGCCACCCTCCAGCTTATTCTAATTCATTTTGTCATTCATTCATTCAGAGCATTCCAGAATGCTTTTTACCTGTTGCGTTTGTTTCCCTACCACCTTTTTCTCTTCCTAGAACTTGAGCTCCACAAAACGAATGAGAATAATAACTTTTCTTGTTGGTGCTGTTATCTCTGAGAGCGCATCAGGGGCTTGTATATATCAAGTAATTTTTGGACATAAATGAGTTTGGAATCAAGACACTTCTGGGTTCAAATCTCAGCTGTCATTTTCAAGCTTCTAAGTGACTTTAAGCAAATGACTTATCCTCTCTCAGCCTTAAATCTTTTCATTTGTAGTTTGGGGGTGATAACACTAACTGGCAGGGCCACACTAAAGACTGCACAGCTACACGATCCACTCTGAATTCACGCCCAACCCGACTGTTCCACGAGCAGCCCGCTCGGAGTACAGGTAAGTTAAAATCAAACCTCTGCCTCCACGGACTGCCAGGGACCGGAGGCCGGATTCCGGCCCAGCACTCCAGGGGTCTAAAGGAATACGGATTTTGCTCTTGACGTGAGAATAACAGGACAGAGCCGGTGTATGGGCAGCGAGCGGGGCTTGCTCACCGCTTGGAGATCTCCTGGTAGCGCAGCTGCAACTTCGCCTGCAAGTCTTGCTGTGGGAGGAGAGGAAGGAGGTCAGCCTGCAGGGCACCTCAGGAGAGGAGAGGGCGAGGGAGCAGGGGCATCCCAGGGATGGAGAAGGGAAGGTCGGAGGTGAACAGTTTGGTACAGGGGTATGAGTCCTGGAGGAGATAAGGAGAGCTAAGGCCTGGGCCACAAGATACAGGGCTAAGAAGGTCTGGGATTAGGCAGACCTCAGGCCTGAATGGGTCGAGGGCTCGGGTGGAGGTGGGTGTGTCGGCCGAAGGAGTTGGGGGCTCTGCGCTGAGACACTGGTTCTAGTCTAGGAGAATCTCAGCACTAAGAGCGTCAGGCCCAAGGGTGCAGGAGGAAGGGGACTAGCGGGAGCGGGTCCGAGGAGCACTGAACCCACAGCCCCCCGCCCCGCCCCGCCCCGCCCCACTCGGCCCTTCTCGCCCCGCGCACCCCGGACGCCCAGTTCCGCAACCGCTGGATGAAGCGGGTAGCGGACGCCATCTTCCGTCTGCGCTGAAGGGCGCCGGTGACGTCTCTACCGTGGGGGCTGCTGGGAAAACCCTCCAGCTCTCGCGAGGGCTGGAGTGGGCGGGGCTACTATGTAGTATAAAGACTCTTCTCGGAGCACGTGACCCCTCTCCGCCCGACCGCCGCCGCGCCGCCATTATGGACACGAGCCGTGTGCAGCCCATCAAACTGGCCAGGGTGAGGTGGGGGTCCTGATTTGGGGGCCCGGGGGAAGAAAGATGGGATGGGGGAAGGGCTAGCCAGGTCTGATCCCAGTTTCTTTCCGCCAGGTCACCAAGGTGCTGGGCAGGACCGGCTCGCAGGGACAGTGCACGCAGGTGAGCGAGCGCGGGTGGGGGCGCCCCGGGCTGAGCCCTGATGATTGCCATGACGGCTGGACTCTGAGACCAGAAGTCCCTTATATCCCAAGGGCTCCCGGAGCGTCCGAGCCCTCACTAGGGCCTTGCCCACCGCGTCTGAGCTCCGTCAACTTCATTCGCCGGGTTCCGACGTTCCTCTTTCTTGGGCCGTCTCAGCGAACTCTTTGTGGCTCCATGCCCATCTGAGTGTGCTCCCCGCCCCGAGCAGGACCTGAGCTACAGCTGTCCCTACTGTTTTAGTCTCTCGAGAACTTTGTTCTCCACGTCTTGACTTTCTTCGGCTCCCGTCCTGGCTCAGCTCTGCCTGCCAGACGCAGTTCCCTAGTCCTCTAAGTGTCTCCGGGTTGGCCCCAACACGCCCTCTGTATTGAAGTCTGCTGCCTACCACGCGGTGCCCATCCCTGACTTGTCCTAACTCCGCGTCCCTCTGGTGGGCCCCGTAGGTGCGCGTGGAGTTTATGGACGACACGAGCCGCTCCATCATCCGCAACGTGAAAGGCCCTGTGCGTGAGGGCGACGTGCTCACCCTCTTGGAGTCAGAGCGAGAAGCTCGGAGGTTGCGCTGAACTTGTGGCTGGTGAGTGCAGCACTGGGATGGGAAGCAGCAAACCCGTTAGACCCTTGTTGGTAGCAGGAAGGCTTCACCAAATCCACGGGTGAGGGTCTCAGGGTGGGGGGGGTGTACAATGATCTGAGATTTGCCCGGCCGGGGAGGGGGGCAGGGATTTTATCAGTTGCTGGGTACCCCATCAGTATCTAATGTTTGGGTCTGTTTACAGGGTCCAGGCTATCTGGGTCGACCACTTGCCTCACGGGGATGGATCTGCGATTGTTAATAAAGCGTTTATGTTGTACGTAAATTTGGGTTCTCGTTTGGGCTGTCACCGGACTTCTAAAACTCTCCAGTGGGGGCCTCTCCCTGCCTTTGTTCTCTGAAGACTTAGGGTGTGGGAGCTATGTGCTCGTGTCCCCAAAACAAGACACAAGCTGAGTTAGTAATGTTTTATTCTGTGAGTGGGTGGACTCGGGGGCCTTGTCACTTTTCATTCAGCCCGTCTCATCCTGCTGGTCCAGGGTGAGCCCCTCCGGAACACTGACCATCCAAGCCTTTCTTTTGGCCCAGGGCTAGCATCTGGATAGCAAACCCTGGCCCCTGCTGTGCCCCCACGGGCTGGGGTGAAGAAAGGAAAGATCCCCCCCTGCACCCAGTCCAGGTCCAGGGTGCCAGGCCGTTCACTGTGGCTGAGGGTCTTCTCTGTGGTCACTGCATTCTCCTTCACCAGGCACAGCCGCGGGGGCGTCAAGGGGTGACTGGTGAGAGATGGGGGAAGGGGTCCGGTCAGTCTCCTGTGGGCAGGACGCTTCCTCATACACAGGGATGCTTAACCTGATGGAGGTCTTGCCCCTCCACACTGTGATCGTGCATAAGGAGGAACCCCACTCTTCACAGTGGAGCCAGGTTGTCTGTTTTTGAATTCGCCTCTGCCCTATCTGGCCAGGAAGAGGGGCTTGATCTCCGTACCTCCTTCCCCACAGCTCCAATGGGGGGGGGGGGCAGCTGATTGCATGAGTTTAATTAAGGACTAGGAAGAGCTTGCCAGTTGCCTTTGAAAAAGAATAAGCTTTTCCACTTGGAGGCAAACTGAGCGTTCTACTTGCAGTTCAGCCCTCCCTCCCTGCCTAATGCTAAAGGATCCCTTATTCCTTGGGGACAGCGACAGGAGTCCGCTGACAAAGGAAGGTCTGAGCTAGTTCTGACCACTCTAGCCTGGCCCTAGGTCACTTCCCCTCTGGAGGCCTCAGGCCATCACCCGATGACCTGTAAAGTGGAGGTGTGGCTCTCAGGTATTTGGCAGGTTGAACATCAGATCCCAGCCACATGCAATCCAAACCCAGATTCCCCAATCCTGGCTGCTTCCCCAAGGGAGCAGGAATGGAGGCCTCCTCTGTGAGGCACACTCCGTACCATCTTGGGATGGTGTAGCTGCGAGGCTTTGTTGCTCAGGGCCAGCGGCCGCACTTACCGGGGAGTCCAGCTGCCCAGAGCTCAGGTGGGCATGCAGCAGGGCAGCTACCTCCTCCTGCTCGGCCTCCAGGGCAATGGCCAGGGCACTGGTGCCCTCCTGAGGAACGAGCCGGGTAGTCAGGTCCCTGATCCAATGCACGGGTAGTCTGCCAGCCCCCCGCCAGCCCCATGGTGGCTCACGTTGTCCAGGAGGGCCGGGTCGCAGCCCGGCTGGGCCAACAGCAAGCGGACGGTGTCCAGGCGCCCGTACTCACTGGCGCACATCAGTGCTGTGGCCCCGTCTGCATCCTGTGCGTTCACGTCTGCCCCACAGGCCAGCAGGGCCGCCACCATGTCCTGGCGGCCGTGGCTGATAGCCAGCATAAGGGCTGTCTGTCCTGTCTGGGGGGGTGGGGAAGAAGGGGACAGGGCTGGGGAGGGTTCTGGAGAAAAGGAGGTCAGAGACAAACCCCGAGTGGAAGTGACCCCCAGATCGGGAGCCAGGAAGGGCATGTCCACGCACCTGGCTGGCCTTGGCGTTAACGTCGCCCATGCGGAAGAGCCTCTGAACCACAGCCGTGTCCTCTTCTCGCCCCACAGAGGTGAGCGCGGCCAGCATGAGGGCTGAGTAGCCTGCCCGATTCTGGCGGTCGACCTCGCAGACCCCTGGGAGAGGAGGGAGTCCATCAACCAACAAGCTGACACCCTCAGCCCAGCCTGGTTTACCCTCCTCCCCTCAGGCCTGCCATCATGACTGGGTCCTGAATTTACTGTTCCCTTGGCCCCCGAGGCTCCCTCCCTCCCCTTCAGGGTTCTGCTCAAATCTCTGCTGGTTTCAAACTGGTTCTGGGACTTGGTTTGGTTTTCTGTTATATCCCCCCAGTACCTAGAACACCTGGCACTTAGTAGGTGCTCAATAAACTTGATGTTCCTATTTTCACGGCTACCGCCCACCAACTCACCATCATTGCCCCCTTAGAGAGCTATGTCGACTGGCCCACCCTGGTGTCTGAATCCACTTGTTTGCATGCAGCAGATCAAGAGAAATTTGGCACAGTCACCCATTTAAGAGCCTCCCACATCTCTCCATTGCTTCTGGAATACAGGCCATCGTCCACTATGGCTTCTGAAGCTATTCCCTAACTTCTGTTCCTTGTGGAATCCTGGTCTCCAAGCCTGTGTTAGACTGGCTTCTGTCCCCACCCCCCAACAGATAGGAACTCCTACCTACCCTGTACCTGTGAATGTGACCTTAGTTAGAAATAGGGTCTTTGAGAATGTGATCAAGTTAAGAGGGGTCCTTATGGTAGACCCTAATCCAGTATGACTGGTGTCCTTAGAAGAGAGAGACAAGCAGAAGACCATGTGATGATGAAGAGAAGAGATCATCAGCCACAGGCTGCTAAAGATTGCAGGCAAGCACCAGCAGCTGGGGAAAAAGGCCTGGGACAGATTTGCTTTGAGCTCCTAAGACGGAACCAGGCCTGCCAATCTTGATTTTGGACTTTTGGCCTCCTGAACCACAAAAAAAATGAATTTCCGTGTTTTTAAGCCAGCCACATTGAGCTGCTCTGTTGCAGCAGCCCAGGGAAAGAACACTGCTGCCTACCCTTCAGAGCTGAACACAAACGCTGGCTCTATTTCCTCTGGGATCACCCCATTCCCATCCCGGCCTCTCCTTCCCAGCACCTCTCTGGGACGCGGTTACTAGAGTGGCCGTTTGATGTGGTTGTCTCCCACCTTTCAGAAGGTTCTATGAGGCCAGGACAGCTCGGGAAGAGGTGCACAGTGAGGGGTAAGAGGGGGTTCCCTAGTTATGGGGCATACTGTGTAGGTGTTCACTGCTTCCACAAGCTTCTGTGACCCTAGTGGAGTGTGTGGGTGGGGAGGGGCTCATAGAAATAACCAGAGTGGGGTCTCTGGAGGCACCAGGGCACCCTCCCAACTTCCTCTGCCCTCTCTATTCCCCTCCCACCTGAGGCCTTCCTAAGCTAAAGGATCCTAGTTCCTTCCTCCCCTAGTTATGTCTTATTGTGGTTTTTATCTAATTATGTCATGTTTTTACTTGATAATCTTGAGTCTATGTCCACTCACCCTCTCCCCACAGCACACGCACTCACACCCATACATTCACAGGAGCTTGCTCATTGATTGAACTGACACCCGAGGGTCTACGGCGTGCCATGATGGAGAGGTAGGGTGAGGTGAAGGAGGGCCACAAGAGTTTGAAAGGGGACATAAAGGAGTAAATGACAGAAGGTGAACAAGGAGACTGGATGAGGACAGTGAAATGAGGGAGCAATGGCCAATGGTCCTGTGAGGGCCAAGGTTGTTAGGGCCAGCCACTGGGGCAACCAAAATGTTGGCGGGTGAGAGCTGAGAAGAGGGGTGCTGGGAGTGAGATTGTGGAGGGGGTGTCGTCTTCAGTGACGTCAAGATCTCCGGGTGACCTTACAAGTATAAGGCTGACGTAGGGCAGAGGTCAAGATGAAGGGAGAAGCGGGGTCAAGGAACCAAGAAGCCTGGAGGCAAGAGGAATATTCCATAAGGATGCTGAAACTGGTGTGGATTAGCCTGCAAAGGAGAGCTGGCCTGGGACAAAAATGCGAGTAATGTGACCAGAAGGGGTGGAGAGAGTAGCAGACTGAGCAATAAGAGGCTGCAAGGTAGGGTTGAGGGAGAAACAGGGAAAGTTCTAGGTGGAGAGAAGTAGCAAAGATACACAGCCCTGTCCAGGCCCTGCATTCCAGGGAGGTGAGACAGCCCCTACACGGGGAGGACACTGAGGACAGGGTCCTAGGGGAGGGAAGACCCAGGTTGACATGGGAGCAAGCAGACAGGGGCAGAGAGAATGTCTGGTGTGAAAGGTAGAAGGTACGGGGCAAGGTCTGGGGCATTGGGAGCTGGGGGCGGGGTGGGGGGGTTGACGCAAGGAATAAAGAGGGTCCATGAAGCCTTGGGCTTCTTGTGACTGAGCTGTGCCTTCCTTGCCAGCTGCTGAAGCCCCCATCCCCAGCCCCCTTTTAGGCAGGAGATGCCAGGGAATATCGAGAGTATCGAGAGATACATGATACTCTCGAATCATGTATCATCCCCCCTCCTGAGCTCCAGCTCCCTGTATAGCTCAGAGCAACTGTGCCCTTCCCCAGGTCACCAAGATCTTCAGGGATGGGACAGATCTTTGTTTGGGTGGGGTGGGAGAGGGGACAGTGGGACCTGCCTTAGCCTGCATTGAGAGTGAGAAGCCTCCAAAGGCAGGACCCAGCAGACACTGGGCCTGAAGGATGGTGCCCAGGAGGGCTCTTGGTGGGCAGTTTGTGTACTGCCCACTGTCCCCTCCGCTCTGAGTCCCATGGGGAGAGCAGCTGTATGTGGGTGGCCCGCCCCCCACCCCAGCACTGTACTGGTACCTAGTAGGCTCTCAATACAGGTCTTGTGGGCTCAGCAACAACCCAGAAGTGTATATCTCAGCTCCAGAGGGGGAAAGTTGGGGCAGGTAAGGAGCAAGCATGAGCAGGTGATAAAAATGTGTGAACCGGAGCCAATGCGAGATGTGGGGGTGGAGGAGGGCATAGTGGCCGGGCCTGGGTGGGTGCTCAGAGCCCTGACCTGAAGGCCTCCCCTCAAGTCTGGGGAGGCAGGTGGCTGGACAGAGGAGAGGGCCAGGGCTGGAGATTCAGGAACAGAAGGCATGGGGACCACTGACTGGCTGCCTGTGCGCCTGGCACTAAGGTACCCGTGTCATCACAACTACCCGGGGAGGGCCCTGTGGCCTCCCGGTTTCCCAGATGGGGAGGCCGAGGCTGGTGAGACTAAGTGATTCCTCTAGATTTAGGTCTAATTCCAGAGCCTGTATCCTGGCACCCCACAGAGTGAAAGGCCACCCGTGCACAGCTCAGAGGATGCAGAGGTCTAAAGGCCCTTGGCAATCCGCCCAGGACACGGGGATCCTGTGCCCCAGGAGGAAGGCGCTGACCGGTGTCCAGCAGCAAGTTCGAGATGGCCAGGTTCCCATGGGACACGCTGTAGTGCAGGGCTGTGTTCCCGTTGCCATCCGCCAGGTTCACCACGTGGGCCAGCAGCTCGGGTCCCAGGCGCGCCACGGCGCCCAGCACCCCAGCCACGGGCTCCGCCTGAGAGCGCCGCTGGCTCGACACCCGAAACCACTCCTGGGCCACTAGGCGCGCCGCGCCCTGCCGGGACAGGAGGAAAGGCGTCAGAGACGGTCCAGGTCTTGTGGAGGGGGGACGGGAATCCGGCCGGGCAGGAAGGGTCGCTGCTTGTCTGAGGGTGTCGGTGGCGCCACACCCCTTTGGAAGAGGGACTACGAGCCAGTGTGGGTCCCAGGCTCAAGGGGGCAGGGATCCTCCCCTCTGGGAAAAGAGCCTGTGGGAGAACCTAGAGTGGAGGAAGGCGGTGAGCGCCTGCCTTTGGGGGGTATGGGAGTGGGGCCAGAGCTTGGGGCGGGCCCTTAGGGGAAACGGAACACTTCAGCGCTGTCCCGGGACGGACATGCCTTTGAGGAGCCTGGGATGGGGAGCTGGGGGGATCTCGGCGCGAAGGGGTGGAACCTGGGGTCCCCCAACTCCAGGAAACCCCACGCGCTCCCTAAGAGGGCGTCAGGGGAGGCCCCGATGGGGCCCACGACTCCCATCCATGAAGGGCTCTCGTGGGCACTCACGCCGTCGCGGGCGATTCCGCGCGGCCGGCTCAGCTGCCGGTGCAGCGCTGCGCACGCCTCCCTCAAACGCGGGCTCAGCTCGCACCTGTCAAGTAGAGAGAAGCGCTGGAGGGGTCTGGGTCGGGGGGGTGGGGAGGCGCGGGGCACAGGAAAGGAAGCAGCCGTCCCCACTGCCCCCACTCCACGTGCCTAACGCCGCTCACCTCCCCTGCGCACCCGGCTGAGGTTCTGCCTCCGGCTCGGGCTCGGGGTCCGGGACTTCCCTGCCGCTGTCGTCCCCGGAGCCGGAGGAACTGCTCTTTGGAGGATCGGCAGCACCGTCCTCGCTGTCGCTGTCGCTGTCGTCGTCCTCGCTGGAAGAGCTCTCATACCTGGGGGCAGGGCGGGAGGCATCCGCTGAGCCTCCCCGGTGGGCTCATTCTGGGGTCCTGCGAGGTGGGAGTGGCTGTCCCCATTTTACATGTGAGGAAACGGAGGCCTTCCAAGACCACACTGCGAGTGAGGGGGCAGAGCCAGGATTCGAATCCCGGCCTACGTCCCTGCAGATGTCGCCATGGGGAGGGGAAAAGTGCTCACTCTCCGTTGAGGACCCCAACAAACTGCAGGCTCTTGGGTCCGGGGCTGGGTTGGGCGCCAGGTGTAGTGGCATCTCTCCTCTTCATGATGGATTTGAGGGTGCCTGGCGGGGTCAGATGAGGGCACTGAGTCCCAGCCCAGAAGCCGTCAAGCCAGGGCTTAGCTAGGGGCTGGGACTCACCCGCGGGGGCCGCGACTCTGTCCCCATCCGCAGGTCCTGACGGGTTCTCCTGGGTCAGGGGAGGAGCCTCCGCGGGGCTCTCGGTCTGTGTGGCCTTCGCGGCACAACCCCACGGGGTCTGGGTGGCTGCATCGCGCGGCTGGGGCCGGGCTGCCGCTGCCGCCTCTTCCTCCTCGGCAGCCTCGCGGGCCTCCTCCAGCTCGCGCAGCCGGGAGCGCAGGAGCTCGCTCACCCCGCGCTGGTGCTCCAGGCTGGCTCGCAGCAGCTCCAGCTCGCGCTCGGCGGCGGCGGGCAACCCCAGCAGCGCCTCGGTCACCCACGCGTCTGCCTCGAGGGTCTCGGGAGCCGCCTCCACGCCGGCCTCCCGGGTCTCCGGCACTGCCTGGGCCCTAGCGTCCTGGGTCTCCGGCACGGCCTGGGCGCCAGCCTCCTGCGTCTGCGGCGCCCCGTCGGGCGTCCCGGCCACCGCATCGGGGACCTCGAGCGTGCCCTCACTGCGCCTGGAAGCCGGCCCGTCGGGGCCATCGGCCCAGGGGCTAGCCTTGGCGCGAACACCGCGCTCGGAGGTGGCCAAGCGTTCGGTGAGCCGCCGCAGCTGAGCTAGCTTGTCGGGGCGCGCCGCGGCCTCCCCGTCGGGCTCCGGCTGCCCGCGCCCAGCCAGCAGCCGAGCCTTCTCGGCGCGCAGCGCGCGCACCTGCTCCTGCAGCTCCGGCAGCGCGCGCGCCTGTTCCTCGAGCTCGCGCAGGCGCCGCAGAGCCGCGGCCATCTGCTCGCGCACCAGCTGCAGTTGCGCGGGACCGGGAGAAGCGAGGGCGGGGTTGGAGGCGGGGCTGCTGCGGCCCGACCCACGCGGGCTGCGCGGGACGGCGCGGGCGGGGCTGGGCGCGCCCTCGTGCGCCTGCGCGAGCTCCAGCCGCCGGCTCGTTTCCAGAAGCGTGCGCTCGACGCGCGGGTTCCGCACGGGCACGCGCGGCGACAGCGGCTGCAGCAGGAGCCCCGAGGGTGCGCCCGGGGAGAGCGCGCCCGATGCTCCCCCATCGTCACTAGCCAGGGACTCGCTGGACGTCCAGGCGCCTGGGCTGCGCGCGCCTGCGAGGCCAGCCCGGGGTGCTCTGGGGCGGCGCGCAGGCAGCGGGCCCGGGGCGCGGCGGGTGGCGGAGCCGCGCTCCAGCTCCTCCACGTACTTGAGGAAGTCCAGGTCGAGGTGGAAGCCATAGGGTGTCTCCACTGAGTAGGGCGAGCTCGGGCTGCGGGCGCCCGCGGTGGGGCCGGGGCCCAGGCGAGGGCCGCCCAGGTCTGCGGGCACGACGGGGTGTGGGGGGCGTCAGGCTGGGGGGAGGGGGACGACCCGGGACAGACTGGACAGATGCATCCCCCACCGCCCGCGACAGTCCACGGCTCTGCCTGCACCAGACCCTGCACACCTGCCACTGCGCACGCGCGTGCCCGAGGATCAAATGCCTATCTGCACCAAATAGTCATGCGATCCCACCCTTAGTGAGCACCTACTATGTGACCAGCATTATTCTAGGCGCTGAGGACACATCAGTGAACAAAACGGACAAACATCCCTGCTTTCTTGTAGGAAATAAACATCATTCCAATGGTGCTTGCTTAGGGCAATAATAATAATAACAACAAGGTGAAATGGAGAATAACTGTGGGAGGCGTGACTTTGGCTCCAGTTATCAGGACAGGTTTCCTGCGGAAGGGACTTAAAAGTTGAGCCCTGAAATATGAGGAAGCAGCTGGGGACAGAAGGTTCCTAAAAGAAAACAGCCCAAGCAAAGGCCCTGGGATATAGCGAGCAGGGTGGGGTAACAGCAAGGCTGAGGTGAGAGTGTCCCGCACAGAGATAAAAAAGGGAGAAGGAAAGGAGTAGGAGAGGTGGGTTGGGGCCCAATCGTGGGGGGCTTCCTGGGCCACCATGAGGAATTGGGATTATATGAGACATGCGATAGGGCACGCCACAGGCAGGTTTTAAGCAGGGCCATGACATTATCCAGTGGACGGTTAGCAAGGGCTCTCTGGCTACATACGGAGAGAACCACAGGGCTGTGTCTACATAGGGGCATCAACTATCAGTCTGTCCACACACATGTATCCCACTTTGCACACTCACCAGGCAGGTTCTGATTCAGGGCAAACTTGGCCATGTTTTCTGGAGTAGCTGTCAGACACACCCTGAAAAATGTCCCCAGAAGGGGTGAGGATGGGGCCAGCCCCATCCCTCCGGCTGTACTTCTGGAGTCAGCCTCGATGCTAAGTTAGAGTAAATAGACCCAAGAGCTCCTCCCTCCCCCCGCCCCCACCACCCTCCGCAACACATGTGTCCTGTCCTCTCTGCTCCCTCAAGAAGCCTTGAAACTTTGGGATGAATGAATGCGGGGATCCCCAGGTGCAGTCCTCAGCTGGCTGGACAGGAAGAGGCAAGCAGGGCATCAAAAGGAGAAGAGAGGAGAGTGATGAGAAAACAAGAGAAGCTGGGAATGGGGGCAGGGGAGGGTCAGTCATTCGGACCTGCTGAGTTTCGTCAGTCCCCCAGGCAAAATTGGAAATGATGCTCAAAAGGATGTGCTGTGAACCTTCAGAAGGGGAAGGCGAGAGTTGGAAGCCCTTCATGGGCTCATTAAAAATTCATCTGGTCAGATTCTGCGTATGGAAAAAAAAAAAAAAACACACAACAGGGCTGTTTGAATTCTTTTTTCCTTAGAGGAATGCAAACAAGATATAATTGCGCATCTGAGTGTTTACCAAGTTGCTTGTGAGACTCTTGTAGGAATGATGGAGAGCTGAGGTCTAGCTGCACCAAGGATGCAAATCAATGGATATCTATCTCCCTAGGATGTCTCTAGGAGTGTCACAGGATTCTGCCCTTGGCTTGGGGGGAGCTTGTAATGGAACCACAAGCACCCAGGTTGTCAGAGCCGTGGCTAGACATGGGGCTGGGGGGACTCTTCAGATAACATGATGGAGGCTTTAAAAAACTGAGGGAGGGGCGCCTGGGTGGCTCAGCCGGTTAAGCATCCGACCTTGGCTCAGGTCATGATCTCTCGTGTGCGTGAATTCGAGCCCTGAGTAGGGCTCTGTGCTGATGGCTCAGAGCCTGGAGCCTGCTTTGGATTCTGTGTCTCCCCTCTCTCTCTGCCCCTTACCTGCTTGCACTCAGACTGTCTTTCTCTCTCTCTCTCTCAAAAATAAATAAATATAGGGGAGCCTGGGTGGCTCAGTCGGTTAAGCATCCGACTTCAGCTGAGGTCACGATCTCACGGTCCGTGGGTTCGAGCCCCGCATCAGGCTCTGGGCTGACAGCTCGGAGCCTGGAACCTGCTTCGGATTCTGTGTCTCCCTCTCTCTCTGCCCCTCCCCCATTCATGCTCTGTCTCTCTCTGTCCCAAAAATAAATACACGTTAAAAAAAAAAATTAAAAAAAAATAAAATAAACATAAAAAAATTTTTTTAAAGAACCTAAGGGAGATTGGGGCACACCTAATGTGATAATTAACAAGGACAACCAGAAAGCACAAGGTTGGAAAGGAGGGGCTTATGAAGAGCCCACATGAAAAAACTTCGAGGGAGGGAAAGCAGCTTGGACTGAGTCTGTACCATATACCTTGCCTGATTAAATGTAACCCTCATGCAGTCCTGCAAGGTAGGTGTCATCATTCACATTTTCCAGATGGGGAAACTGAGGCACAGGGCAACTAGATCAACCGCCTATGGGAAATGCCCCTAGACTGTGCTCCACCCATCTCCTGGGGACCCCTTGCCGGTGCAGCCTCCACCACCAGATGCCTGCCTGGCATCTGTCCTCTCCCTGACACAGTGCCCAATGTGCCAACCCCCTGGGAACCTTTCCTATCACCCCTTCCAGCCTCTTGCATTCCTGATGCCCATCAGCCACGGAGTAGCCCTTGCTCCACTGCCGAGGGGACCCTGCCACTCCCTACCTCTGTCCAGCCTGGGTACCTGAAACCTCCCTCGCCCCACCCTAAGGCAGGTGGTGGGGGGGGGGGAGGCCTTCTGGTCCCAAAGCAGCTGCTTCCTGTCCCCTCACACTGGTTGAGAGGGGCGGGCCAGCGGGGGCAGCCGGTGATCACAGAGGACAGCCAGTGCCTCTCACAACTTGTTTTCAGGAAACTGTCAGGGAAGAGTTGTGTGGTGGAAAAAAACCTACGCCAGAGCTCAGGGGTCCGGGCCTAGCCTCGCACCGCTGGCAGTGTGACTCAGTGGGGTCAGCCTCCTCCTCCAGTGACCTGCTCACACCCAACTAGGAGGCCCTGAGAACTCAAAAAACAGCTGTGGGTCATCCCTAAGACGCAAATCAGCTGGAGTCGCCAGGCCCAGAAGCTGGGCTGAGAAAGCAGTGCTCCAGGAATGGTGAATAATAATAATAATACTTTTGCCATTCATGCTGGGCCAGCTCTATTATATGCAATTCATGGGTATTAACTTAAAAAAAAAAAAAGTCCTAGCTAAACCCTCCAAGGTAGGTTTTCTTATCACTACCCTTTCCCCTATTGTCCGGGTGGAGACGCTGAGACACAGGGATATGAAGTGACCCATCCAAGGGCACACACGAGGCAGGATTTTAACCCAGGCAATTTTGCCAGTGTTTCTGCATTGGCCACCCACTTGATGGCCTTCTAGAGACAGCCGTGCCCTCCAGGGCAGGCGCAGAGAGCCCGAGGGGGGTCATCCCTCCCACCCTGCATTCCCTGCCTATACCTGCGCGTTTCCCTGCTGGGGAAGCAGGCCCACACTTGGGCGGCCCCAGGAGCCGCAGCCTGAGCAGAGTGGGGGCGCGGCGGCCCTGCCCTCTTCTCCGCTCCCTGCCCGAGTTGTCAGCTAGATCGGATCCTCTGCCTGAGACCCCCTCATTAGGCCGTCAGAGCCGACGCCACACGCCCCCACTCCCGCCCCAAGGACTATTTCGGGACTCCGGGTTGTGATCAGGAAACCTGAGCGGTGGGGACTCGGCGGGCAGTGTGGATCCCGGTCCTGGGGAGAGGACGTCTCCCCGGCTTGAGGCCGCGAATGGTGGCACCCCCTAATGTTGGGGCGGGACGCTCAGAGCCCCGAGGAGGGGTTGGAGGCTGATGATGGTGGGAGGGGGAGGTACTCGGGTACATCGCGCCCCCCCCCCCCAACACACACACTTATACACACCCCACGACGGCCTCGTAGAGACAGAGCGGTTTCCTACAGGAAACCCCGCCGGGCGGTTCCATCCGCTACCCATTGTCTGCCGGCCCGGGGGCCGTCCGTTCCTCCCCCCAACACCGTTTCCGTATCACCCCCCGCCCCCCGCACCCACACACACCCAGGTCCACCGTGAGGGGCTGAACCCGTGTCCCCAAGCTCTCCAGGAGCGACGCTGGGAAAGTCCCGGAGTCTGTTGGGGCGCTAGGTGGCGAACAAGCCCCCCACTGGGCTCCTGAAGGGCGGGAGGAGGGCGATCTCACGAAGCCAGAGCCCCCAGCTCTGCTCGCTGCCCACCTGGGGCTCCGGGTGTCGGGTGGGGTCCCAGCCAGAGGACACGCAGCCCGCCCCATCGCGGGGCGCTGAGCCCGCAGAGGGGCAGGAAGCTCAGTACCCCTTCCCGGTACGTCCCCTAGTGCCCCCCAAAACCCCCGCCGGTGGCCCCGAAAATTTGGTGCTTTACCTGAAGCAGCAGCCCCCGCCGCGCCCGCACCCGAACCCGCCCCCTCGGAGCTCGGGGACGGATTATCAAGGCCTGGTCCCTAACTGATGGCCGCTCTAGCCAACCAGCGCCCGAGGCTCTCCGAGCTGTCCAATGGTGAGGCGGGGTGGGCGGTGCTGGTCCGGCCCGAGTGGGGGGTGGGGCTGGGGGCGGGGCCTAAGTGACTGTCCCTGGGCCCGGGAGGCGGGGAGGAGTAGGTAGGGGGCGGGGCGGAGGGGACAACCAAGTCCCGCCCAGGGCAGGGCTAAGGAGTTTGGATTTGATCCACAGGGCACTAGGGAGCCATGGCAAGACAACGGGAGACTAACCCAATGGGATTTGTGTGTTTGGAAGATCCTTTGGGCGGAAGCTAGAAGGACTGATGCTCATGTCCCAGTGTCTTGGAGAGGTACCAAGACCCTGGATCTTTCCTACCACAGGGTCTTTGCACAAGCTGTTCCATCTCCCTGCACTGTTCTTCCCTAAACACGTTCACATAGGCACCTTCTCCTATGTTGGAGGCTCGACCCGTGTGTTCTCACGCCCTAAAGCCCTAATGGGGTCCCTCTCCAGTCTCTGTCTTTCCCATTGCTCTGTTTTATTAAACTTGGTAGCTACTTTCACTATCTGAAACAAGAAGAATTTATTTGTTTCCTTATTTGTCATCTGTCTCCCCCACTAAAGTGGCAGCATCATAAAACAGGGGACTGATTGATTTTGGTCACTGCTTCATCCAGTGTTCCTGGCATATAGTAGATGCTTAATAAATGTTTATTGAAAGATTTTTTTTTTATTTTTTAACGTTTATTTATTTTTAAGAAAGAGAGAGCGCGCGAGCAGGGAAGAGGCAGAGAGAGGGAGACAGGATCTGAAGCAGGCTCCAGGCTCTGAGCTGTCAGCACAGCTGACAGGGGCTGGACCCTGCAAACCTCAGAATCATGACCTGAGCCGAAATCCGACACTTCACTGACTGAGCTACCGAGGTGCCTCTAAGGTTTTGTTTTTTGTTTTTTTTTTTTTTTAATTTTTTTTAAGTAGGGGCACCTGGGTGGCTCAGTTGGTTAAACATCGGACTTTGGCTCAGGTCATGATCTCATGCTTCGTGAGTTCAAGCTCCGCTTTGGGGAGCCCTGCTTTCTCTCTTTCTCTCTCTCGCCCTCTCTGCCCCTCATGGAATTCTCTCTGTCCCTTGCTCACTTGTACTCTCTCTCTCTCTCTCTCTCTCTCTCTCTCTCTC